GAATGACAGATGGACTTTAGTTCAGTTCCTGCTGTGGAGCCTGAAGTTCATCTATGAATGTGAACTGGTAGTTTGTAATCTGATATCAGACAGTACTCTGCTGTAGAAGTAATCTGATTACTGTGAGGGATACGTTGCGGTTCTGGTTCTGCTGCTGTCGACTGTAAGTGGAACCTTTTCTCTCCATTCAGTAAATGTTTCCTTCAACGACGATGTTCACAAAGATGGTCACTTGGTGTGTGTGTGTTCAGAACACAGAACACACACATGTTCCTCAGAGAACCAGAACACAGTGGGAACCATAGATACGTATAATAAAGGTTAGAGGCTCGGTCCGTTCGCTGACCCATAGCATTGTGTCGTGGTGGTGCTTGGACTTTTTAAACAACCAGAACTTGCTCAGTTTTCTACCGATTTCCAGACGGTTTGGTTTGTTCTAAACGTCAGAGGTGTAGCTATAACTGATGGATAATGATGTCACACTCTCACAGCCAGCAGCAATTAGTGTTTTAATTATTGTGTGTTTTATTTGTGTTTTTGTAATTTGAACTGTAGCCACGTTAATAATGTTTGTAAGAAACCAAACCGTTTGTAAATCCGTCCAGATTGCAGTGAGATCAGAGTATCTAGGTTTGTGCAGATCGCTCACCTTCCTTCACGGACCACAGGTTCTGCCAGAGAGCCGCCCCAGATCAAGATGGCCGCCGGTGATCCTGTTCAAGACTCCGCCTTCAGACATCGAGCCTTTATTACACACATCTGTGGTGTGAACAGCTTTTAGATGAAATCATATAAAAAGGAAGTTCTAAAGAGCCGATAATCACACGATCAATGACTCTGATCGGTAAACCGACAGCATGCTGACAGTAAGACAACCTAAAGGACCAAATGAATCTGCTCGTCGAACCGTTTCTGCTGCTGTTGGATCGTCCAATAAGAGCCGCCCTCTGATGACCTCACTGAACAGGTGCTCTTCCTCTTCCTGGATCTGCTCTCTGTTGGTGCAAACATGAGTCGTCACGCTGATCACTGACTCAAACACAAGTATCGAGGTAATCCAAAAGTTCCTCAGTAATCTGATTACATTTGGTCTGTCATTGATGTTGAGCGTTTGCAGCCGCTCGCTCTGAGAACGTTTGAAGAGCGTTGGACAGAAGAACAAAGTGTTGTGCTGTTAGATCTTTGCTGGCAGCTCTTCTGCTCCTGACATTAAACAGCCTTTTGTAGCTCGTTAGCGCGAGGTGTTAACGAGGCTGTGTGCGGATTGGACGGCTGTGATGGGCTGCCAACACCTCTGAAGACCCACAGAGACGGAAAACCGGCCCAAGACAAAAGAACCCTGAACGGAGTTTGGTGCAGCAGAATGACAGAACAAACTAATTCAAACATGGATCATCTGGTCTGAAGACCCTCGTGCTGATTGGCTGCCTCAGACAGCTACCTGGAGACGGGGCCTAGGGTGGTCCAATAGAAACAGAAATAAAACATCTGGTGATTTTTCAAACTACAAACACATCAGAACCCCGATTAGAATTAGAATCAACATAATAGAGGGCTGCTTGGTGGCTAGCACCGTTAGCGCCTCACAGCTAGAAGGTCGCCGGTTCACGTCCCGGTGAGGACACCCGGGATCTTCCTGCGTGGAGTCTCCATGTTCTCCCCGTGCAGCGTGGGTTCTCTCCGGGTTCTCCGGCTTCCTCCCACAGTCCAGAAACATGCTGAGGTTAATTGGTGATTGTAAATTGTCCGTAGGTGTGAATGTGAGTGTGCTTGGTTGTCTGTCTCTAAGTGTAGCCCTGTGATAGACTGGTTACCTGTCCAGGTGAACCTGCCTTCACCCTGAGTCAGCTGGGATAGGCTCCGCCCCCCATGACCCTGGTGAGGATGAAGGTGTAGAGATGATGGATCGAATAGTAGAACAACTAAATAAAAGATCAAAAGAATAAAACAGAAGGACTGATAGAACCATGGTTCCATGTTTTTTGTAGTTTTTCATGTTATCTTCTGGTCTCCAAAGTCAGATTTAATCTTAACCTTCTTCCTGTTAAACTGAAACAGAATCATGATGGATCTGACACAGGATGAGAACAGGTCAAATGAGGAGCTTTGATGGACAGCTATCAATCACTCACCTGTCAGATACCACAAGCTCCGCCCACCAGCCAATAGGAGGCCTGTCCGTCTGCGGTGCCTGCGTCTGATTGGCTGTTCGGGCGGCGAGCGGGGTCGAGCAGCGGAGAGAGAGAGACTCGGAGCGGAGGTTCTCCAGGTGTTCTGCAGAGAACCAGAGAACAAGCGGCTCTCCTCCGCGGACATGGCGGGCTCCCCCACTCCGCCCACCGAACCTCTCTTCCACTCCGAGCCGCCGTACAGCGCTCCGAACCCGGCCGGCTCCCCGCGGCTCTCCGCAGCTTTCCTGAGCGGCAGAGTCCCGGTGAGCGCGACGGGGACGAGCGGCGGCGGCGGCGGCGGCGCGTCCCCGCACACGGAGTGCCGGATGGTGGAAGTTCACGGGGTGAAGGTGGCCTCGTTCACGGTGAACGGAGCCGAGCTGATCTGCCTGCCGCAGGTGTTCGAGCTGTTCCTGAAGCACCTGGTCGGCGGGCTGCACACCGTCTACACCAAGCTGAAGCGGCTGGACATCAGCCCGGTGGTGTGCACCGTGGAGCAGGTGCGCGTCCTGCGCGGGCTCGGAGCCATCCAGCCCGGCGTGAACCGCTGCAAGCTCATCACCAGGGCCGACTTCGAGACGCTGTTCCGGGACTGCACGAACGCCAGGTGAGCCAAAGTCCCTTCAGACATCAGTGCAGTTTGCAGGCAGCAGGACGAGAATGAGCAGGACCCAGATGTTCGGACCGGTACCCGACAAGCTCTGCAGGTCGGACTTTAAACATCACAGTTCAGCGCTTCAGTCGTTTGAGTTTAAAAGTGATGAAACACGTTTAAAGATTGAAACTCAGAATCTTTACATTAACTCCTTTAATTCGGTTAAAAATCCAGCTGCTTCCAAAACATGAACAATCGATCAGTTTCCTTCAATTGTTCCGTTTTTCATAGATTTTTATGTTGAATCTTCACCGAACATCAGAATCAATCAATCCCTTTATTAGCTGGCTGAATACTTCACTTTAATGTGGCAGACCTTTTGTTCGCGTCACTCAGAACATTTATATCCCATTAAATCAGGTCTGCTGCCGATCGATCAGAATAAACTGATCAATACTGAAGGATGAAACCCTGAACACGTTTGTATGAACGGCAATAATCAGATGAGTGATGAATCTACTCGTCTGCTGAGAAACGTGACTTTTATTTTATTCTATTTTATATTAATCATTTAATAGCGATCAATAACTGAGAATGTCTCTGAAGCTCTTTATCGACACAAACTGATTCTCTTTTATGGAGTCATTGATCTGAAACTCGTCACATTTTAACACGTCGAGCAACAAAAACCCAGAATCCAAACCCAGAATCCAAACCCAGAGTCCAAACCCAGAATCCAAACCCAGAATCCAAACCCAGAATCCAAACCCAGAATCCAAACCCAGAATCCAACCTGCTGATAGAGAAACATCCTCATGACTCTTCAGGAAAAAATGACGGTTATTGATTATTTTCCAGTTGATCAGTGAAATCATGAGTCAATCACATCATTTGATCTTTTGTTAAAATTATCATTATTTCTGCATAATTTCATCGCAGCTGTTTGAACATCAGTTTATTTGATTAGTTATCAGTTTGGTTATTGATCATGTGTCGTGTTTCCATGCTGAGAGGATTTTCTCTTTCTGTCGCAGTAAACTGAACAAACCGTAACCCCCCGAAGAGACCAACAGCTTTCACTGTTGTCTGATGTTCTGCACATCAAATAAATCAATACATCAATCAGCTGATCAATGACTGAGTTAAAATATGAGACATCATGTTGGTTCCCATTGATCTCGTTTCTGCTGTGAGCGGAGATGAAGATTTTGCTTCTCTGACGGCTGCAGATTACACATCTGACATAACGAGACTGCAAATATTGGTTATTGATTAATCAGCTAATTATTTTTTCCATTTCATGACAAACTGTCCTGGAGCTGGAGTCTCATTTTTATCATCTCAAACTATGACGTCTGAGGAGATACAAGCAGGAAATGTTGTGCCTCAGACTGTGAACCGATCACTGAAGCTGATTTTCTATCAATCAATAAATGGACTGAAGTCTGCTCAGCTTTCTGACAGCTGGAGTCTCCTGATCTGCTTCCTGTTCAATCTCTGCTCAGATTCAGACAAACAGCGAAATCAGAGCCTCCAATGAGTTCAATCACCGTTAGTCAAACAAATCAATCAGCTGTCATCTGTTCTGATCATCAATAATCAGTCAGTCTGAAGTCAGTTATGTGATAAAAACTGGAAGTTACAGGACAGAGTCAGAATGATCAGATGAGACATAAAAATGAACCAGATTAATAATCAGAGCCGTCTGACGAGAGGCAAGAACCGCTGAGCAGCAACGCCCCCTGTAGGAAGCCAGCATCTCATTCAGCTCTCAGTCGTTCATGTATGAGACGGATGCAGCGCTCAGGTTTACCAGCAGATCATCATCCAGACAGGAGAGAAGTTCCTGCTGTTATTGTGCAACATATACGGACAACAAATGATGATTCCTCAAACCATGAAACACTTTGTCGTTGGTTCACTAATGTGTAGAAACGTGCTGACGGTGTAGAAACGTCCTCACGGTGTAGAAACGAGCTGACGGTGTAGAAACGTCCTCACGGTGTAGAAACGAGCTGATGGTGTAGAAACGTCTTCACGGTGTAGAAACTTCCTCACGGTGTAGAAACGTCCTGACGGAGTAGAAGTTTTCCAGGATGTGTCCACATCACAAAACAAAAACAGTCTTCAATCTTAATGTCAGTTCATGTTGTTTCGCCTCCAGGTGTGTATGAGCCGTGTGTTTAATCATGTGTTGGTGGATTCCTGCTACATTTTTTTTCTAACGATGAATTTATGTTCATGAGCCTCAACTAATTAAACAATTAGTGTCAGTGTGTTAACTGTGTGTGTGACAGGCGTTGAATGAGGACTGACAGTTTAATGTGAACACACTGTTTGTGTTCATCTGTGTGTGTGTGTGTGTGTGTGTGTGTGTGTGAATTCATCATTGTGTTTCTTGTGTCTTCTGTGATGTATAGTATATGTGATCATATAGAAACTTAGCCCAGCGTGGTCCTTCACAGCGACACGACGATGTGACGTAGCACGCTGTGAGCTAGCGTAGCAACAGACTAACATGACATAAAGTCAGATTCACTGAAACCCGGTTGCAACATGGAGCCTGAAATCCTGTAGAAGTGAGGATTGAATATCCACACACACACACACACACACACACACACACACACACACACACACACACGATCTGAGCCTAGCAGCTGTGTGTCTGTGTTTGTTCTGATAATGTCTTTATGTCCAGCTTCGCTTCTAACAGACTCACACGATGATAACAGATGAAAACTGTATTAATACTATAAATACCATGGTACTGGTACTGGTACTGGTACGAAAAATACTACGAATATTCCTGATACCAATACTACTGATACTGTACCACAAATAAAACTATTGCCTGGAGCTGCGACTAACACAGAACCACCACAATGAGAAACGACCGTTTCACAGTTTCTTGTTAGTTCAGCATTTTCACATGAAGCTGGTCCCACTGGGTTCAACTGGGCCCAGTGTGTGTGTGCTACATGAAAGACATGTTGTCCCAGTTTAATTAAGTGTGGAAACCCCCAACACACACAGACACACACACACACACACACACACACACACACACACACACACTCTGTCTTGAGGAATTTAATTTCGTGAGTGGGCGGGGCCTCTGTGTCTCGGACCTGTCAATCAAGAGCTGACCTGTGTGTCTGTGTTCAGGTCTATGTGTCTCTCTGGGGACCGTGTGAGGAAGGTCCAGGACAGGTTTTAACAGGAATCCATAAAATCTACAAGATTTGTATTTTTATTTCATAAGTTAATTTTTTTTAACCTGGGTTGAGCTCACATCTTCATTATTTCACTCATTAGCAAAAACAGACAGTTAAAGTGACGATTTATGTAAAACATTTTTGTTGTGCTTTGCATTATTGATCCATTATTCTTTATTGTTACTCTTATTCATATTGACATACATCTACAGTAGGGCTGGGACTTCAACACATTCATTTTGATTAATTAATTACAGAAAAAATAATGTGTTAAAAAAAATTAAATGATTTAACTGCATCTTTCTCAGTTCCCTTGTTTCTGGCACACCAGTAACACTGACGTGTGAAGACGATGCACAGAATGCACTGAGCGGCGTCAGCGCACAAGAAAGTTTGGTGACTAGTGATGGAAGACGAGGCCGCATTACTCAGCTCGTTGGGCGGAACGTTGTTTTTCTATTAGAGGCCGAGTGCTACGTGTCCACAGAGGCCATTTGGCCAAAATTTGCCAAATTTGCATCAGGTTGAAGTCAAGTGTACTTTATGAAAAATGAGCCTGAAGGCGACGCTCCAGAAGACGAGGCGGGATGTTTCACTGCACAATGAACGTGAAGCTAGAAGCAGACGGATCCTGTGGACACGTAGCAGGAGGCAGCTTGGATCAGAGCTCGGTTGTGTGCAAATTGTGCAACAAAGAGTTTTATGACAAAAAATATTAAAATGGTGAATATAATCGCTCTAACTGCACTTTGAGTTTGAACTAATCTGTGAATGTAGTCAAAAATGCTCAGATACATGTAGATGAAAAGCAAAGAGTTTTATTCTTGAAGTTCACGTACACGTCCATTCATTGGTTCAGTCGTCAACCAAAATGTCTTTGAATTGAAAAACTTTGCTTATTGTGCCAAATATTGCTATTTGATAAAAATGTTATTAATCACAATTAATTAATTACAAAGCCTCTAATTAATTAGAGTTTTTTTTCCATACATAGTAAAATAGTTTGATTATAAATGTACATTTTACTGCAGCACTTATTTCACTTGTTCAACTGTTCAATAGAAACTGAAGTCTCTCACTATAATATTTTATTTCAGTTTCTGAAATTGTTTTCTGTCCTGTGTTCAGTTTTGTGCTTTGTGTGTCCGTGTGCGACACAAATGGTGCGTCTCCTAAAGTTGTCCCCTGGGACTATCGACATCCACAATGAAAGGCCTTCAGGAGAGAGAGATGAAACAGATTAATTTATGAACATGAGATTCACCTGGAATATTAAAAGCGAGCTGAGACGAGACGAAAGGCCAGCGCTCATTAATTATTCAGCTGTTATTTAAGGTGGAATCCCTTTCAGCTCTCTTAAGGCGGTCCCACTGTGTCTTTCTCAGCTCTCGACCAGGTCGGCCTCCCAAGAGGACTCTGGGCGTGACAAGCATGACGGACGGCTCCAGGCTCCTCCCACACAGTCTGCTAAGCCCCGCCCTGCTGTCTCAGACAGGTGAGTCAAAGAGTCAGGTCACCAGTAGTACAATAAAGGATCAACACGAAGCAGAAGGAGGCCGTCTGTCAACACACAACTCCTGTCTCTTTAGGAGACCCACCTCTACTGCAGCCCACTCTGGTCTGATTCGTTGGCAAACAAACATCACGTTTCACTTCCTTTTCTGGTTCTTAAGTAAAAATGTTGACGTAACAACATGAACCAACAACCCACTGACCCTAAGCAACAACAATAGCAACAGTATGACCAACAACCTGACAATCTGTGATTCAGTTCAATTCAGTTTCATTTATGTAGCGCAAATTCACAACATATGTCATCTCCAGCGCTTAACGCAGTAAGCTGAAGACCTTATGAAGAACCCAACAATCCAAAGATGTCTTTCAACGTACATTTGCACTCATAATTATTCAATCCCCATAAATCAAGTTTATTGACAAAATGTACGAACTTCCAGCTGTTTTTGGGCCCAACACAGCTAATGTTAGATGGTTTCTCTAAATTCAACACAATATACCACCTTTAATGACTACTGCTGTCTCAAAATTATTCAACCCCTTATTAGCAAGCATCTTTAGAACTTAGTAGAGCACCCTTTTGCTGCTTTGACCTGCTGCAAATGTCGTGCACAGCCAGACACCAGGTTCTTACAGCATTCCTGAGCAATCTTAGCCCATTCCTGATGGGCAATAGCCTCCAGCTCTCTCATATTCTTGGGTTTGCATGCTACACCCGCCTTCTTCAATTCCCACCAAAGATTTTCTATGGGACTCAAGTCAGGCCACTGTGATGGCCACTCTGGTATCTTCCACGACTTTTTCGGAAGCCAAGTATTGGTAGACTTTGAGGTTTGCTTTGGCAAGTTCTATGATGCCCAAGCTTTAGCTTCCTCACATTTTCTCCTAGGATTTACTGATACTGGACTGAATCCAGCTTGCCTTCCAAATGCTGCAGGTTTCTAGTGCCGGAAGATGCAAGCAGCCTCAGAGCAACACCGAGCCACCACCATGCTTCATCGTAGGCAAGGAGTTCTTGTTACGGATGCCTCATTCTTCCTCCTCTCGTCAAACCACCGATCCATAGGCCCAAAAAGTTCTAGTGTTGTTTCATCACTCCAAAGAACAGAATCCCCAAACTTCTGTGGCTTATTTCTATAGTTTTGAGTGTACTGGAGGGGACTTGTTTTGTGGTTTGGGTCAGTAGTGGTGTACGTCTTGGGGTTGGGTCAGGAGACCTCCAGCATTCAGTGTGAGCCTTGCTGTAGACACTGAAACCTCAGTGCCTGCTGCCAACATGTCTTGCTGCAGGTCTTGTGCAGTCACTCAAAGGTTTTTGGCCACCTGCCTCCTTAGACATCTGCTGGCAGCTGCTGATAGCTTCCTCTTTCTGCCACGTCCAGGTAGTGTAGCCACTGTTCCTTTAACTTTGAACTTGCCAGCTCTGCTTCCTACAGCATCTCTGGGAAAATTCAGTGCCTTTGATATATTTTTGTTTCATTTTCCTTGTTTGTGCAAGACAATGATCTTCTCTCTAAAGTTTTGGGATAGTTCTCTTGACTTAACCACATTTCTAACAAGCAATCAAACGTCCCTATGAACAAACCCAAAGCCAGTCTGTGTATTTCTGTTCTATCTCAAGCACATCTAACTCCACAAGTGAAGCCCTTGATTAGTGATGTCAGGTGTGCCTGGGACAACTCCTGATTGTGCAAATGAGTGCTCTTATGTGAGATTCTATTCAGGGTGCTAAAGACTTTTGAGACAGCAGTAGTTATTAAAAGTGGTATTTCATGTTGAATTTGGAGAAAAGTCATCTAATATTAGTTGTGTTGATCTACATAAATTGTTCTTGTTTGAGTTGTTTTCCTGAAAACAGCAGAGACTTTGTACAGTTTGCCAATAAACCTGATTTGCAACAGGGGTTCAATAATCTAAGTGTAGCTGTGTGTTGAAAGACATCCTGATCTAAAATACCTCCAAGGTTCCTTACAGTGGAACCGGAGGCCAAGGCGATGCCATCAAGAGTAAGTATCTGGTTAGATAGCATGTTTCTAAAGTGTTTAGGCCCAAATACAATAACCTCAGTCTTTTCCAGATTTAAATGAAGAAAATTACAGGTCATCCAGACATTTCTATCATTCAGACATGCCTGAAGTTTGACCAACTGGTTTCCATTGGCTTCACAGATAAATATAACTGGGTGTCGTCTGCATAACAGTGGAAATTAATGCAGTGTTTTCTAATAATGTTGCCTAAGGGGAACATGTACAAGGTAAATAATGTTGGTCCTAATACAGAGCCCTGTGGAACTCCATACCTAATTCTGGTGTGCATGGAGGAATCATCATTAACATGAACAAACTGGAATCTGTCTGATAAA